GAACGATCATCATAGGGCAGAGAGCGCGTTTAAGGCGCTGGCGGTTGCGTTGAGGCAGGCGACGACAAGGGTGGTGGGGAGGGAGGGGAGGTGCCGAGTACGAAGGGGGTGTTGTATTAGGGGGAAATTCGATTATGTGGGTGGCTGTTGGGCGTATCTGCGGAAATACTTACGACTGGTGGAATGCGTTTCGGATAGAAGGTATGTGCTTGCCTGCTGGCGCATCTTGATGTGTTTCGAGGTCATTCCTGGAGTAAAGCGCTGATAGCTGATAGCAGCGGCCTAGGATTGTACTTTGAAATGGAAAGGCGATCGTACTGAGCTTCACAGGAGGCAGAGAAAAGGAACACAGCATATGCTCAACACAGCACATCACCTCTCTCGCGGATGACTTGTGGCTGCACTCTTGGATCTTTGGTGCTTCTGAAAATTTTGGTTGATAAGCTCACATGCTTGAACAGAACCGGAGTCTGCCAACGCCCTCTGATTAACTTTAATACGTAGTAAAGTACTCTCGGGATCCAAGCCAGTTACCAGACTATCGTCTCGCACAAAGGCGCCAATACCGCAAGCAAGAAGTCCTCTCACGTATTCAGGCATTGTCACCGACTTCAGTCATGACTCCCACGAGTGTGGTGGTCGTTTCTCCTTTATCAGCCCACCGGATGCATCACGACATGTCTTGCCGACTGGCCGACCCACGGGACTCGAATCGTCGCATCTCCGGATACTACTGGGTGGCATCGGTATCACACGTCCTATGACTCAGCATCCTTGGACCTTGAAATCCGGGCGGCTGGAAGTCAAGCCTTATCAAACTGATTCACAAACCCCAGATCATACCATCTACCAGTCCCCCTCCTTCTCTAACTCCCACGAGCTGTTACGCTCCAACTAACATGGGCGTAACCACGGAGGCACGCAAGAAGGCTGAGACAAGAACTAACATGCCGTACAACAATGCAGACAGACAAGAAGAGTAACACAGCTTGTGGAATAAGATAACACAGCAGACTATAACAGATATAACATGGCGCACAACTGATACGTCTGTACCGAACCTTACCGCGGAAATCGTTATACCACTCGGGACATTTCAAGCACGCCTTCCATCTGCTCAGCCGTAAACGCACGCCCTTGGTGTTTCAGCGCCACAAGACTCTCACCGCAACACGTTGACGACGTCGAAGATCCCATCCACAGAAGAAACAAGAGGACCTAACTCATGCCCTATTTCACCACGAACACGGTTCTGACTAGAAGACGTTGAGCCGGGACAATAGAAAACTCATCATCCATTATCGCACGACAACTGAAGACGCGGGATCGGACCATTTCATGTGTCCTGGATACCGCGTAGTATACCCAAATGATGATCGACAGCCTCGATCTGGCAGCCAGCGGCAAAAGGGCAAAGGTTCAAGGGGAACGTCCTTCCCATATGATCGACCTTGAGCGGAATAACCAACAAGCCTTCCAAGTCATGACCAGAAAGGATCAAGCAGTCGCCGCGAGATACGCCAACGGAGAGGCCATAAAGGCAGGCAATTCCGACTACGCCATTCGCGCCAAATTAGAGCCCACAGGCATAGACAACCCACTGATACTCCTGTCGAAGCCAATCACTGACCATTCCGCCCGGACCAACGTTCATGCAAAAACTACTGGGACGTATAGGGATCACAAAAACTCTGAAGATGCTCTGAGAAGACTCACCCTACCAAAAGTTGTCGTTCCGAGACAATACCTCCCCAGGAATGTACTAAGGAAGACAGAAAGTTCACCGTGGGATCCTTAACGGACATCTCCGATTTCAATCAAGGTGGTTGTGTAAGAAACACCATGTCAATTAAGTATCGGGGCAGCAACCTACTCAACGGGTCTTTCAACGGTGCAAGAACGCACATTTAGGCTGCAGCTAGTCGACAATGTCTTCCGCCCGAGTGCTCTCAGCTATGTCGATAAGAGTCATCGCCGAGCACGGCACCATCAACAGCAGGCTCTTTCACGTTGGGGTTCGCATTGTTTCAACGAGCTCATTCATGACAACTTCTCGCTTGGAGACAGTCGAGATCCCCGATGGGATGAATGACCAGGCAGCGCTTCAATTCTGCGGATTCGAGTAGAATATGGCGCGACAGCGGTTTGGATACTGGGAGTGGCTGCAAAGCCATGGCAGACAGGCCGGGAGTGAAGCCACCACTCAAGTCGCGGGTACGAGCTGGGGAAGATCCCTCCAACTGCCTATTGTGCTGCTGGGGACTCCCGCTGAGCCAGTAGTCGTAGCTGACAGCACTTCCTGTAAGAACCACCAGCTGGCCTGTGGTAGGGTCGTAGACAGGGTCTCCACGAGATTGTCGGGTCAAAGCTTGATTCTCATAGTCTTGGAATGTGAATGGTGTCTGAGAAGTAGTCATGAATTATTGCGTATCTATGGAAGCAGAGAGAGCCGTTCGTAGCTATGCCAGTGTTAACCTAGTCAAAGCAAACCTGAAGGAAAAAGGGAAAGAGGAAAAGGAAAAAGAAAGGAAACTCAAGAAAGCACAAAAACGCCAAACGCCGAGCCCCACCACCAAGTAGAAGAAAAAGCCTGCCAATTGCCTGATTCTAGCCCGCTGTCTCCTCGTCAACCGCCTCGCTATCTGCCAACGTGAGCTGGTTTTGAATACGCTGCCAGATCGGCCCATACTCGGACGGTGGCATAACGAATCCTATCCCGTCGTTTGACAGGAATATCGGCTCGCCAGCCCGCATGCCAGCAATCGCGAAATAAGCTTCTACGTCTTCAAGTTGTGGAGAGGAGCGAGTGATAGTGGAGCTGCTGGACTGTGATGTCGTATCGTCCGATAACTACTAATCAACGTCAGAGCTTCAAGTGATAGCTAGAGAACTTGTTATTTGCCTTACCTCAATGATCTCAGGATGCTCATCTTCGGCAGTATCCATGTCGCCGCCTTTCGAGGTGTTGGCACGTTCTGCAAGATCGTGAAGTGTAGCGTCGTCAAGTGCAAGAGCATTAACCGCCTCGTTGGCCACAATGACCAACCCCGTCGATTCGCGTCTGGCAGCATCATGGCCATTGGCTTCCTTAACAAGCCCGGCACCGAGGATCTGCACTTGGCGAAGAAGACACCGTGCCGCATCCTTCAACTTCTCTATCTCAATCTTCGACTGCTCAACTTCACCCTGCAACTGCTCAACTTGATATGCTTGTCGGGTAGCCTGAGCTTCGTAGTCTTGCTTGGCGATCTCCACGGTCCGGAGTTGTCCCTGAAGCATTTCAGTCTGCGACTCCAGGCTTGCAATCTGAGCTTTTGGGTCGGCGACCTCAGAGTCCGAACTGGTGACATGGCGCTGTGGGTTCGCTTCCAATTCGGTATTCTTCGTGTTGGCCATGGAGACGTCTGAGTCTCTCCAACCGCGGGAGCGTTGGGACGGTTGTGTTGCACCACCAATGCTGAATACCGGGCACGTCGGCGAAGACTGTTGACCAGCTATATAACTTGTCAGCTACTATCTCACAAGCAGCAAGGCGCGCTTGCCAGCTGGAAGCGCTTACCGGGGTTGGCTTCCTTCTTCACTTCACCAGAGACTGGGCGGCTCTTTGGCAGTGATGCTGTCGGTGAGGGTGGAGCTGACCAATTTGGATCTCCAACAAGAGCGATTTGTTTGCCATCTGGGAGGCTGATCGTCGCCGCTTGACCAGTGGCCTGGTCCAAGACTGCAGCGCTACGATTCGCTCTTGATACCCTCGGCTTGCCGTTGATATCGAAGTCTCCAGACCACCACGTGCCTTTTTTACGCCCACTTATCGCGGATTCTGTGACAACTTGAAAGACGCGGTCTGTCAGGTACGTGTTCGCCGGTGGACGGTTGGTGTTGCTGAGTTGGCCTGGGGGCAGATGATCGCATATCTTCCAGTTCGTCTTGTCGGACGCGCCATCGCCGTCCGATAGGCGCCATATATTGGCATGGTTTGACGCCATTGACAAGTTGCGATAGAGAAGTTCTGGAAGAAGATCTGAGAGAAAAAGATGACACCCTCGAAGTGTCAGCTGTAAGGTTGTGAAAGAAATGAGAGTAATCAATGAAGCGACTTATTATGAGGGATTCTGTATTTGCAGCTTCCGGCAGGTGACTTGGCAATTATCAAGAGCATGTGGCATGTGAAATGTTTTCACTTCATGTGGCTTTAACTAAATAGAGTAGTCTTCGACCAAAGCTTGAGAGGATTGAGTTTCATTAGGTTTCCAACTCTTGCCTCAGCTGTTTCCTTCATGCTTCTCCAGCTCCTCGCCAGGAACACCAAAGGTCAGCTTCGAACTGCTGCGTGATGTCCATGACGGCCCCGATACTTTATAATGCTATGCTCAGGGCACATTGCGGCGTCAATCTTGTTCCAGATAAGCTGACAAAGCTGCGTCCGTTGGCTGCTTCGTCATGAAGATGATGCGTGATAAGCCGGCTCGTCGGCCATTTGTAAACTCTTCTTAAATCTGTTGAAGTACTACATAGTCTTGATCCAGTCCGTGTCCGCATCCACCGGTAACGAGACAGGTACGTTCTGGCCTCCGAATCCCACAGCGGTTCTACGGAGCTCCAGTATTGCAACCATTGGTAGAGCCACATTCAGTAGCAGAACTGCTTATTGGAAAGCATACGCTTGTTGATATAAGCAACAAGCTCGAGTCGAAATGACAACTCAAACGGAAGCTGATGCAGTATATGCGGGCTCTTTGATCCACTGCAGATTGGAGAGCCAGGGAATTATGGAATGATAGCACACCGTATGGCCACAACTGAAGTCGGCAGAAGCGTGTCGAGGGGACAACGTAAAACAGATGGGACTACCTACCTAGGTAGGTAGCGAGATGATGGACTGGCATCAGTGAACCCCTCAACGGCATGCTGCAACCCAAATAGCCCCGCTAGTCTTCGCCAAAAGGATATTACGACTACCACCACAGTGCAAAGAAGAATGCAAAAATGCAACTACGTCATGCGTGGTACGAGACTCGAACTCGTGCCTGAAGCAAATCCGAAGTATGGGAAGCTTCAATTCTACCCCTAAACTAACCACGCTTAAGAGAAAGTTTACTCACATTTGTATATATATGCAAAATTCCGTTCTAGCACTTGTGGTTCAGATCCAATACGACCGGATGCTCAGAACCTCACCAACGCCAGCTGCGCGTTGAATTCCACTTGATTGTACATACAGATCTATTCTGGAATAGAACATCTTCGAATGCGGAGTGTAATCCTGATGAGCGCGAGGCGCTTGTCACACCCCGGCGAGGGGCACCTGAGGCCCAGACCCCGCCAACGCCTTGAGAGTTCAGAGAAGCAGTGACGTGGACTCTGAACGAACAACAACATGTCGAAAATAGAGAAGACGATAGCGCGACAGCAGCAGAAGTATACTTGATCTTCTTACTGAAGAGAAGCCGAAACTCACTAACCGCGCTTCAGGATCGAGGAAGGCCAGTACTACGAAGCGCACCAGCAGTTGCGCGTCATCGCGTCGCGATACGTCAAGCAGAGCAACTGGGATGCGGCCTGCGACCTACTCTTCTCCGGCGCACAGTTGCTGTTGAAGGCAGGCCAAGGAGGCAGCGGCGGTGATTTGTGCTTGTTCTTGGTGGACACATACAACAAGGCGGAGCTCAAACCAGATGCCGCAAGCAAAGGCAGGCTGCTTGCGCTGCTGCGCGTTCCCGCCGGACGAGCCAACGAAGAAGAGATTCGTCACCGATATGATCGCGTTAGTATCCTGCCTATGACACTGGGGACATTTACTGATCTGGCGCAGATGGTCCTCGAAGTTTGGAGAGTATCCCGCCGGCGACCCTGAGCTGCATCACGTAGCTGGCACACTCTACGCAGATGGTACTGTCCCGCTGGCTCTTCGCAAACAGACGCAGCAGCTAACAATGCCCCAGAGGACGAAGCCTATGACGCGGAGCGACACTTAGTCCTCGGCACCCGCGACTCTCCAGAACGTCTCGCTCGCCTAGAGTACGATTGGTATACCGAAGACGAACCGCATACCGCGCCTCTATATGTTGCACGCGCCGTCTTACCCTACCTGCTTACCGGCAATATGCGCTCCGCCAACCAGTCCATGCTCCTTTTCACCGGCCGACTCCAAAAGAGAAAGGTGGTCTCGGCGGCCAAGAGGTCAGCTCTCCGAAGTCAGAGATTCGCGTGTATCCGAGCCTGCCACTGCTCAACTTCTTATCGCTCCTCCTGCTGGCGGTGCAAAGAGGAAGCGCGGATCTGTTCAGGCAGCTGAAGAGCCATTATGCGGTGCATCTGAAAGAAGTGGGGACATGGGATGAGGCATTGGCTCAAATTGGGGAGATGTACTTCGGCATCAAGATTCCGTCTCAGACGAACCCGTTGATGGACATGATGGGTAACATGCTCATGGGTGGTGGACTAGGCGGAGCTCCGAAGCCGAAGTCAAAGAGGGTGGAAGCACCTGCTCCGGCGCCGGCTGTGGATTAGAGCATGATATCATGGAGTTGATGCCATTCGAAGTACATGTCACGGGGAGCATCAAGGGGGTTCGTGTAAATTCTGAGTATAGCGAGCGCAATACATCCCCTAGGCTGGGTTGTGAACTTAGTCTTACAATAGAGGCTACGACTAGGTAGAACGGAATATCCTTTCCTGACGCCTGGGAATGCCTTTCCATTTGTGCTCCTACCAACAGTCCCTTCAATGCAAATATGGGTATCTTTGGAAACAAGCAGCGCCGTGAACGCCCGTTCTTTTCTCTATCCATCATCATTCCACAATCAAGACGACATAGGGCCTTCTGCCTCAAACATCCACTTGTCATCGTCTAGCGAAGCCACCTTAGCCAGCAAGCTAGCCTGCAGAGTCGCTTTCAGCTCTGCGCTGCTGATTAGCGGCATACATGTCACAAGAACGTTCTGTACCCACCGTGTGGCTCAATATGCTGCTGACGCTTCCGGTACGCCTCGATCAAGCGGTGATCAACCTCTACATAGCCACGGTAAGCTCAGGACATTGCCCATCTTCACTCCATAATATACCTCGCTCATCCCGCCCCTCATCCCTCCCCATCGGCGTCATAGCCGGCTGCTCAAGCTGATAATTCCCATGCTCATCCCTCACCGCAATATCCGCATTCGCTTCTTCAGGCGCAACCTGGAGCGTTGTTACCGACGTGCCTGAGGTGGAACTGGCTGTTGTAGCTGGTCGTCTGCTCGCAGCGTGCTGGAAGAGGTTTCGCCGTACGCCTGATGCTGTTGTTGTCCGGCGCGGGGGCTCGCGAGACGCCATCTGGGGGTGGGCTGCTGCGGTCGGGTTCTGCTGCGCGAGGATGTGGTGCAGGCGGATGGGGAGCTGGCGTGGGGGACTCGGCATCGTTGGCGGGACCGTTTCATACTGGGATCCTGGCGGCGATCTCCCGTGGTGCAGGGATGGCGGGGAGCTGTTTGATGTTCGGGTGTTGGAGGTTTGTCGCAAACACCAATCTCCGGAATGCTGTCAGGCACTTCCTAGCAACGTTGCTCTGCTACGAGATGCTTTCAAGAAGTGCAAAAAATGAGTAGTATCGCATTCGACGTTCAGCCGATCAATCGGTTCGCAGGCAAGAGCGCTGCGATTCGGAGACCAAAGGTAAAGATTTGCGTACTTTACATAGCTCCACTGCAGATGCTAACTATTGAACAGGAGATCGCATTCTTCTCCTACGATGAGAACCACCAATTTCGTCTCGACGATTCGTCGCTCCGCTACTACTACCCCCGCGACTAGGCGCCGACCTCTCTGCTGGCTTCCAGACCTTCCGCCAACTAGACGATGCAGCGGACGATCACCTTGACAGTCTTCTGCGTACAATCATCGCACACGAGCAGAAGACAGGGCAGCGCTGTGAGGCTGATGTGGTGACATGGCGTGGAATGATGACGAAGGTGGGATCGCTGTCGACTGCTCTGAAGAGCCGAAGAACGAGAACTGAAAGTTGTATAGATCATGGCAGTGCCTTTCGACAACTTCAATGAGTACGTGCCGGCCAATGAATAGACCGGGAGCCCTGAGCTGACACGGACAAGCTTCGAGATGAACGCAACATGTTTCCAAGTGGGCTGTCCTCCTTTGCCATGCCGGGATCACAAAGGCTGATACTATCGGCTAAAGGGGACAATGTACGTCAATCACACCCAAAGACATCTTTCCGGCAACCTGAAGCTCGTAGACACCGAAGCCAGTGCTGAGTATTGGCCATAGATTTATTGAGGAGAACCATGCAGCCAAATTGGCGTCTCGAGCACAGCAGATGAAGCAGCAATCACGGCCTGGCGCGCCGTCGCAAGAATTAATGAGCTACTGGGGTAAGCCGCGACGGTACAATGTGACAGGATAAGCGTATACTAATCAGGCAATGTAGGCTACAAGTTCGAAACGCTGTGTCTGATACCCGATAAATGGGATGCAGTGTCTCGCGACTACATCGAAAACCGAGAGAACGAGGTCGTGAGCAACTACGCACAGTATTGTTCCGTAGTTCGCACCGGAATTGGCAACGCAAGCCTTGTCATCGGTGGAGAGGTTGATGCAGGTATCTCAGCCGTTCAACCTACAATCGTGTCGCAAGACTAACTACAACTACAGTGTGGGACTGCAAGCCTGATGACAAAGACCAGCCTATCAACTGGGTCGAGCTGAAGACGGCACAAGACTTCGGCGCAAATGGGAACCTTCTAACATTCGAGCGCAAGCTCTTGAAGTTCTGGATCCAGTCCTTCCTGTTGGGCGTACCCAAAATCATCGTGGGCTTCCGCAGCCCAGATGGCATCTTGCAGCGAGTCGAGGAGCTCGAAACGCAGAAAATCCCGGGTAACGTCAAGAGATCTGGAAAAGCAAGCTGGGATGGCAACTTGTGCATCAATTTTACGGCCGCGTTCCTTGCCTGTATTAATTACTCTTATTCTACAGTCATGGTCTTGCGTTGCTAACTTATACTAGTCCTGAAAGAGACCATCACCAGTGATGGCGTTTGGCGCATATGGCGGCGAAAAAATTCACCAGCGGTCGAGGTATTCAAGATGGAGGAAACAGGGCATGGCAGCATTCTCTCTACGGAGTTCGTCGAGTGGCGACAGCAGATGGCCGCACAGGCGCACAGCCAGCCCTGAGAAGAAAAGCTGTGGCGATCCTTTTTGGATTGGATGACCTCAACAGAGCATGGTGGCTATCACGAATAAGCACCTAGTGTTTCATCCGCCTCGGCGGGAAGAAGCACGTGGCTCACAGACATCTGTTCCTGGATACGGGATGACAGCCCTCGACGACGATCAACGTGAATTGCAAGAATGACCTTGCGTTTTCGTCGCTATGGTCTATGCGTCTTTTGGTGAACCTCATGCTGCTAGGGCTGGTTTGGTTCGTGAGGAATGGCTTGAATTCGACTTGCCCTGACTACGTAGATAGATCTAGCGGTACTTCTTCAGGAAGGCAGTCGTAATTCTGGTGGTCTGGTCCATCGAGGATCATTCGATGTAGATGATATTACACTTACTCTCACTTGCGATCACGTACAGTAGCGAACATGAAACATGGCGGTGGCCTCGATGTGCGACAAAAGCGACAGCCCTACTACATCCTCGACTTCAGGGGGCACTGGAGTTCGGACCCGTGGATGTCTTGAGCTTGATAACGCGAGTGTGGGGAGATAGATGTCACCTAGCTATATCGAATTCCCTGATTTCTAAAGCTATCTAAGGACGCAGCCACGCCTTATGTACCCCTTTCGGCGAAACGCCCGGGTTGTGGTGAGCTCAAACATGCAGGTACCTCTTCTTCAGTACAAACCCTTTCTCGAAGTGGAAGTCTTGGTCCCTGAGGCAGGAGTTTTAGTCTCGTCCATGCTTCTTAGGCTCAAGCATGGGCTTTCGCTAACATGTCCCAAATCGAGGTCTTCTCCGAAGGCGCCCATGTAACAAAAGCCCACATCATTAGCGACGACGGTAAACGCCGGCAGGATTGTACGGTTCTGAGAGCGCGCGCTCTACACAAAGTTAAACTTTTATTCCCGTTGCGCAGTG